ATATATATATATATAGAGAGAGAGAGAGAGAGAGAGAGCGCTTGGTTTAAATGTTAGCTAAGATTATTGTGTTAACTTTATTAACCAAGTTCAACCAATGAAAATCCATCTTTTATCTAGGTGCATATTCATCTCATAATTTAATGACAAGGGTAAATATGTAATTTTAGTTTGTATGTAACTCCTATATCATTAATTGAGAGTTACAAAATAAAAAAAAACTCATAATTGTTGTTGATTTACTATTGATCTTGTTTTTCTATAATATTGATTTATCTATCTATAATGTTCTTGAATTTGTGATTGTTAAAGGAGACCCGATAGTAAAGTTTTCGATATCATTCAAGTTAATATGGATAAACCTATTGAAAAACAGCTCGACAACAATGAGAAGGTTAAAATGGTTTATGATGACAATCAGACTTCTAGTTCCGGAAGTCAAGGCAATAATCAAAACGTTTGTATTGGTAATGGATTAATATGTTATTGTACTCATTTTAATCAAAATTATGTTGATTATGACGTTTTTGTGTTTTTTGTAGTTCATATTGTGTTGATAGTTTTTTCTTTAATTATTACTACGAGCCCAATTCATATGTTCATATGCAAATCCAATTCTGATAACCATTCGGCTCCATCAGCTGCTTGTGATGCTTGACCTGCCATAGTGTAACACCTTAAATTTTTCCCTCATACTCTACTCCGTACACGTTGGGATTTTCCGTCTCGTTTGTGAGATATACGTTCTTTATATATATATATATATATATATTAGGAGCTTAGAACTTTTTATTTTATTAGGTCTTTCTAAAAAAATGTATATGTATATAAATATAGGGTTTGAAAAGTTTGGTTAAAGGGGAGTAAAAAAAAGGGGGGGGGGGTGGGGTGTTACCTACTGCGTTTGATCCTAACCTGTAGACTTTCTTTACTTTGGAAGGGTTCCTCCTTTTGTTTTTGAGTCCTTACCTGTTGTTTTTTAAAATGGTAGGGAGTGTGAGGAAGTAAAGGAGGACTGAAGGGGGCTATACGTGGGGAATGGAGTCCCCTTCATTCGGTAATAGGAAAAGAAATAGATTGAAGAAACAAGGGGAGCTGCTGTTTGAGAGAGAAGGGGAGGGGTGGTAGTCTCATCATCTGAAAATTAAACCTGTTGGAAGAAACTGCAACTGCCGGAGTTGGCCGCCTTAGTGCTGCACATGTCTGCACCTCACCTCCAGCCGCGCCCATCTGCACCGTGCCTCTAGCCCGCGCCTCCAGCCCACGTCCGAATGCACCTCCAACCGCTTCCGCAACTTGGACCACCAGGCAGCAGGCGCTGTCGTGCCATGCTGGGCAGCAAGCGCTGCTGTGCCATTTCAATAGCCTGCACCCGATTCTCGGTTCCCTTCGGCTTTCTTCTACTGTTGTTTCTTGGAGTAGAAGTGCAACCATCCTATTTTCGGGGTTTCCTTCCGACTGCCTTTTGGTTTCAGATTTTGGGGTTTTCTCTAAACCCTCCAAGGTGAGTTCACTTCATACCTTTTTGTGAGACCTTATATTAAGTGTGATAGTGTGTTTTTATTTGCCATACACTCTAGTTCCTATAAAACCTACTTATTTGGATGAAATGAGAATTTTGGATCAAAAGTGTGTGAACTTGGGAATTCCGTTGATAATGATAGGATGGGTGTGAAAATGGTTTAATCACTAGGAGGATTGCAAATTTCAAATATTGTTTGCCATAAAACCTTGTTGGTCCCGTTAGGGTCTACAAGATGTGTATAACAATTTGTAGAAGAGGGGGGGGGGATGAATACAAACACAATATTTTCAAATTTAAAATATATATTGATAAGAGAAGATTAATACAGATTTTACAAAACTGTTTGCGGAATAAATAAGGTAAGAAAACCTATCTAAACAATCTTAAGTTTACACACTAAATCATGGGCGGACCTAGTTAAGTGCCATGGGTGGCACGTGCCACCGTATCGTTTCTCCGCCGAAGGATAAAAAATTTAGGTTTCGTGAACAGTGCAACCGTATTAATTTGTTGTATGTCACCGTATGTATTTTGAAACTACAATGAGAACAAGTTTTATTTGGTAAAGTTGGTTTGCAAGGCTTTTATTACACCCCACACCCAAGTCCGAATCATGTTAGTGTCATTTTCTTAGTCAAACGGTGCCACCGTTTGATTTTTTTTGTATATTTGTTTCTTATAGTCAAACGGTGTCATCGTTTGAAAATATTTTCCTATATTTTTTTTCTTATGATCAAATGGTGCCACCGTTTAAAAAAAATTATGGGTCTGTCCCTGCACTAAATCTTAGCAAATAAGAAAAGATTTGATGTTTAAGAAATAGAAGAAAGAGTTCTTTTACTTAAGCGCGAGAAAGCTCAGAGTAAGGTTTTGGTTTAGAGTGTAGTATATCTGCATGAAGATGGAACACATCTATTTATACCCATTGCATTAAATGCACATTTAATGCAACATGGTAGGGATAGAACGCGTGTCAAGCCTTAAGGAGAAGGTTTGTCCTTTGCTACAATGAATAGTACAAAAAGCCTATTCATGAGCAGACATCCTTTCACAAAGTTGGTGGGTAATAGAGTCAACTAGTCGGCTCCGTACCGTACTAATATTTAGAAAGGGTATGGGTTTGTTCTTTGTGTGTATAAGGACAAGACAACAACAATCGTGCTTAACAATCTCTTCAGCATTCGCTGAGGCTTGGGCAGTCTTCACACATATGTAGACAGACTTGTAATCACTAAATACCGCTTCAGATCACGTACTCGCCAGTCTCTAATCTTCAGTTTCAGTCTTTGACATTTGCTGAAGGTTCTTTGATGTGAGTGTTGTCTTCTTGAAGTATCGCTGTCGCTGATTGAATTTACAATACAAGTTCTTCAGCGATCACTGAACAGACTCAGTGGAGATTGCTGGAACTGAAAAGACAGAGACAAAAAATACTTTGAATAGAGTAAAAAGAATTATCATCAAATCACTGAGAGAGAGGATCAACAATCTCCCCCTATTTGATGATAACAAGACAACATAAAGAAGGTTGTCTTATCAAATAATAGTAAGGAAAAGTAACATATAAGGTACATGTCCCTTTTTACTATTTTGAGATCTTTTTCAGTGAGTCAGTCTTTACTTGAAGAGTTTTCTTAAGTCATATTTAAGAAAAGTTACAAGGCTAGAAACTGAAACTGAAAGCTTATTCATTGACTTATAGAATGTCAGTGAATGTGAAAAGTAACAATGAAACTCATAAACTTGTGTCCCTATTACTTTTTTCAGGGATCCTTTTCAGTGAAGTACAAGAAACACTTATATTATATATTCATTGGTAATATTACAAGTAGTTCAGTACATGTCTAATGCTTACAGACTAGAAGATTAATCATTGAAAGTAGACATAGTAAATAGGTTTACAAAAAAAATTGTGAACAGTATTACAAAGAGAAACTAATCTAGGAAACTTAGATCTATGCAGCTAGGTACATCTTCACCAAGGTTCTTTCTACGTAGACATTCTCTTCGTATCTTCAGGTCCACGACTTTTCCTGGCATGCTATCTTCTATCTAGAGCATTAGATAAACCACCCATTGGACATAGATGTAGCTCAGACATTATCTGAAATCTTACTTCACCTTCATAGTCAAGAAATATAACTTCTAACTCAGGTTTGAAGTGCACAACATTGGGTGTATAGGGACCCGTACCTGGCAAGTCAAGATTCAACATAGAAATGTCTATACTCTCATGTTCCTTCAGGATTTCATCTAAGGAGAACTTTATTTCATGTTTGTTCCTTAGAAATGGTCCATCATTAGGATTAGAGAGTTTCTTTTTCTTCCTTCCACCTTTATTCAGAGAGGGCCGGTCAGGGATTGCGACATACCTGGACATCCTTTTGATGAGATCGTTGATGATGTATTTGATAATCGGCTTATGTCTTGACTTGGATCACTGAATGGCTTGCCTGATCTTCAGCCATTCGCTGTATCCATAGCGGCTAAGGTAGGAAGGGTACTCGTTGATTGCGTCGAGATTGTCCCTGGTGATGAGCATTGAGACCAGTGTTCCACCGTCTTTGGATCGTCCGCTGATGCTGACGCTCATGATCGGGTAGGGACTGACTCTTTTCTTCAGCTTTGCTTCGCTCCAGCGCTTGTCCCGCTCAGCCAGCTTCAGGTTCTTCTCGTTCTCAGCTTCTGCAATAGAAAGAAAGAAGTTTAGCTTGGGCTTGGACAACGTTCACCTTCTTTTTGGATTTTCTCTTTGGGAGAATCTTTTCGGCTAGTGACTTGGCCAGCTTTAGGCTATCTTCAGT